TGGGGCACTGATGAGAGGAAATCTAGGGCATCAAAGAGCAGAGATGTGGATAATCAAGGAGAAGAGATCTAGGGCATGGAGGAGCAGAGATGTAGGTAATCAAGGAGCAGATCTGGGGCATCAAAGAACAGAGATGTGGATAATCAAGGAGCAGAGATCTAGGGCAGGGAGGAGAAGGGGTCCAGGTAATCAAGGAGTAACAGTCTAAGGCATCAAGTGGGGTAGCTGTAGGACACCAAGGAGGGGGCATCTGAGGCGCTGAGGGCTGTGCAAGAAGGTGGAGACAAGGCTAATGTCCAGCCCTGACCAGCATTTCATAGTCCAGGGTAGGGGGAACAAGCTTTCACAAGAAACACCAATGCAGCATTGTAAGCTCCCAGGGCTGTTCAGGACGGCTGAGCCTCGACTGGCAGCCCCAGGCTCCCCCAAGGAGGCACCCTGGAGCTGCTCCAGCCAGAGGGAGGGAACCTGCCTCCCCATCAGCAGGCAGCAGCAAACATGATCTGTCTGAAAAATAGAGCCATGTTAACAGTTATTGATCTATAACTTTTAACCAATTTCTTTTTTACAATATTGGGTTGCGTGCTAATATTAGCTTTTTATTGTTGGCACTAGGCAAACTCCACTCCATCAGCGAAAAACAGCTCCTGTGGGCCAATCTGCACCTCCCATTGAGCTGAATGATAGAGGACTGGAACAATATTTTTTGACAGATCAGTTCCTGTTCAGGGTAGCGGTGGCCATTATGCAAATCAAGCTATAAGAAGTTTAAAAGTCTGGAACCATTATATTTCTTTATTTCATTAACATCAATGCAAGCAGTCAAGTTAATACAACAGAGTGATCCCATTCCAGGGCTTGCACAAAATGGTCTCCCCATCATTTAACAGGACTGGTGATTTCCCCTGCAGGTGATCCCAGCAGCTGTACTGGGGCACTGAGGCATTTTTTGCATCATGCAGCTGGGAGAGGGGTGGGTGACAAATGTCTGTGAGCAGATTAGTGCACAGGAATCCTCTGTCTGAGCTGGCAGATGGCTGGGAGGGCCCTGCTCCTGGCAGCAGGCAGACATCCAGGAGGATGGGGGACAAGTAGGGGATCCTTTACAAGGGCCTGATTTCCCACTGGTCCTTGGGGGTCTGCTCCCCCACTTTGGAGCACCTGCACAAAATCTCTTATGTGGTTTTCCCACCCCTAATTCTCTGCATGGGCCATCAGAAGCTGCTTGGGCAGAGCTGCCCTGGAGTCACAGAGTGAACAGAGGCATAAGCAATTAGGATTCAGGTTTACAGGGCAAGGCAGCACAAGAGCATGGCGTTAAGCCCATTTCCTCCAGCTCTGGTGCTGGACACACACATTTTCCCAGCACAACAGCAATATGAGGAGCTAAGCATTGATATAATACAGGAATGATGCTACAAAGAGCAGAGATTTGTGCTCCAGCACATGCCCTGACACCCAGGTGGTGGCCACCCTCCTCATCCCCCATCATATCAGCATCATATCAGCACCTCCACAAAAAAAAGCCTTCACAGCCATCCCTACCCTCACCTCGACCCCACCAAGGGAGCTGAAACAGCTTTGCAGAAGAGCACACATCCCATGTGGCCCCCTGCAGCTGAGGGTATCAGCATCTCTTTACAATTAGAAAATTGATCCACAGTGCATGGAAATGATGGGGCTCAGCCCTTGCATTGGTGTTTTAAGGAAGGGAGTGGGTGATCCCTGGTCACCCACAAAAGCCAGAAACCCTGTGAAAATCTTCCCACCATATAACTCCCACAACAGACACAGCCATGTGCACACTCACACTTATTTATTTGCATAAATCTGGAAAATAAAGATCAGGGCGTGCCACACTAATAGATCCCAGCACTACAATAGCTCCATTATGAGGAGCAATGTCTTGGAGAATTACTGCTAAAGACTCTACCTTTTAGTGTTGAAACTTTTAATTGATTTTAAAATACACAATCAATCACAGTTAATCAAGGAATCATGAAGAAGCTATCGTACACAAATACACAAAGACAGCATATAAACTACAATTAATGACCACTTAAACAATGGGGAGAATGAAAATAGGATTATTTATTAGTGTTTATGGACAGTAATGGATGAAGTAATGAGCAGTAGCACGGTGATGTGCTAGAAGCCAAAGTTGGTGATACTTAACACCAAGTGGCCATAAGTGACTTTTCAGTGAATGGGTCAATGGCAGAGTTTAGAGCAATCTTTACCAAGGAAGGAGGTGCCTTTTCCCCCTCCTCTAAACATTACCATGGCCCTGCAGCTGCTGGTGGAGGTCATCCACCCTGAAGGAAGGATGTAAAACACCCTGGGTTCTCACCACAAACCCCATCTCTGTCCTAGAGCCAGTCAAACCTGTCAGGTGCAGCTTTGCTCCATGGCAGGGGGATCTGTTGTCCCCCAACAAAAACACCTCTGGGCTGCCTTCAGCCAAATGCCCACCCAAATGCCCATCTGTCACCTGCCAGGGAGCTGTCTAGTCCAGCTGGCCAGCTCTGGCCTTAGTGCTAAGTGGAGTGGTTAAAAACCCAGCTGAGTGCCCTGTCCCATCCTTGGGGAGACAATTCTTTATGTCTCAGGGTGGAAAGCAGCCTGATGGGCCAGGGAGGGGGGAGCAAAGGAAGGGCTGGGGGTTATTTAAGCCTGAGCCAAGGACAGTGAGCTCGGGCAGGGCAAAGGAGGTAAATTCCACTGAGGCATCTTGAGGCCTCTGAGGTCTGTCCTTGTCCACAGCCCCAGGTGGTCTGTCCAGGATTTAGTACAAAAGACTATTTTGTCTAAGCTGGCTTTATTCCCACCCACGTAGCAAGAGCCTTGCAGGCCCAGAGCCGGGTGCTGCTGGGGCACACACTGACACAATCCCACCTGGGCTGATTGTGCAGACCCAGCCTGCTCCTTGCTGTGCTGGATCAAGACCTTTCTGTGCCTCCAAGCAATGCCTGCTGTCCCCATGGACAGTCAGGGGCGCAGGGCTGTGACATTCACACAGGGAGCAGTGGCAAATCCCCATAATACAGCCCTTGCTGTGCAGTTTGCAGATATTTACTTCTCTAAATTAATAAGCAGCACTCAGATCCCCACTCCTCCCTGCCTGGCACATGGTGCAGTGGGGAGGCAGTGATGAAACAGCTCCTGGTAAGGAGAAGGGGAGGGTCCAGAGAAAAGTTTGTCCTGTTGCACCATTCCCTGGAAGGCCAGTGATAACTCCAAAAGACACCACCAGCACAATCCAGGTGCTGGTGTTCCTGTAGAAAGGTGGGGGCTGGCCCTCCTTCCCTCCTGGGGCAGGGGTGTGGGGATATTCTTGTGCTCAGATCTTTCTGTAGTGAGATGGAAGTCTCATGCCTGACCAAGGGCTGCTTTTAGCACTTGACTTACACTGCTATTAGTCATCTCAGATCTCTGAAAAGGAGCTGACAGCAGGTCAGCCCCCATAACCACATCTTCCCTGGGGCTTTGGTGGGGGCTGAGGATGCTGCAGCCCCTCACTTCCAGCCCTGCCTGCCAGCAGCCTCCCTTCCCACAGTGCTCGTGCTCACTCTCATGGATCAATGTCTTCCTCTCCTCCACCGTCTCTTTTATTGCCTTGCAAGTTGGCCCCAGGATGTTTTATCACACCACAGCACATAATACAAATGAAAAACAAAGGGGAAAAGTTTGAATCATTTTTTTAATATATTCATCCCTGTGCTGGGGAACAATGATCCATCTGATTAAATCCGCATGCTAGAGTTTATTAAACCAGGTTGGCCTCTCGCTTTCTCTCTCCTTTAGGCAGGGACAGGCTCATTAAAATGAACATGCTCTGCTCCCTCCCCAGTGCAATCCTGCTTCACACAGCCCCTGTGCTGCTGCTACCTCGGAGACATCACCAGGAGCTGATGGATAGGGCTCTGCAGCTCAGTTTTCCCAGCAGCAGCACGGCAGCCGAGCTGTGGCATGGCTTTTTGGCAAAGGGCAGGAGATGCCTTCAGCTGATGGAACACACATCCAAGGAAAAGCCCCTTAAAATTGGAGGGAGGTGGGGGACAGGGTCTGGCCCCCTCACTCTAGCCCTGCCCCAGAACCTGATGGGAAATTTCCCATCTGTAAAATGGTTTCAGGGCACTGCTTCCCCATTAGGATAATTAATGGCTATAAAGCAGTTTGGGTCCTGCACTAAGAATAAACCTATTGGCAACAACAAAGTGCCTATTGGCATTTAAGACACTTTCTCCCTGGGACCAGGTCCCTGTGTAGGCTCCTAAATCTGCCAGCAGCTGCTGTCCCTGCAGCTCCAGCTCCCCTTGGGCTACCTCAGGAGTGTCCCCAGCCCACCCAGTCACCCTCACCAGGAGGCTTTTCCAGCAGGCTGATATTTGCTGCAGCTCCTCTTCTTCCTCGGGAGCCCTTCAGAAACAACCTAAGTCTGTTCCACCCCAGCAATAATAGTGGCTTAGGCCCTGTAATCCCTCCTTTACTCGACTTTGGGTTATTTTGAGCAGGAGATTAAAGGAGATAATCTGCATCACCTGAGGTGCTGCACTTTCTATATCTACCCCCTTTCCTCCATCCTCAGGGGCTCACCCAGGCCCAGGCAAATAAACCCCTCCCTCCTTCCTGTATCCTCTGCCACACTCTTGTCTCAGGACAGCTGTCTGTCCACAGGGTGCTGCCATGTGGTGGGCCATCAGCAGCCTGGCTTCCTAGATCCAGCTTCTCACCTGGCTACCCATGTGTCCTGCCTCCTGAGGCAAGCCCAGAGATGCTCCACAGGAGGGGAAGACAAAGGAGGGCACACTGTAGCACTAATTGGGATTATTCTCTAGGCTTCTTGGGGAGGAGGTGGCAGCAGAGAGGATAAATAAAGTCCTCCTTTGGGCACTTGGAGCTTGGCAGGGTGTGCTGGGTTCAACAGCAGACATTTACTGCCACAGCCAGAGGATGGAGAAGGATTGTCTGTTTGGGACATCCCACAGTACTAACACTTGGTGCTGGTTTGAATTCCTCCTTGCTGAAATCAGCAGCTTTATTAAATGAAGGTCTAAACAGGCAGAGCTACGAGCAGTGACCAGAAATGTTAATTTACCTTCCTTTATGACTGAGAGATGCTCAAACTTGCCAGTGGGGAGGAGCAGGTACCTAGAAGCAATTGTTCCCCCGGGAAGCAAACTCCCACACATGGCATCACACCGGCATGTGTGACCTGTGCACACCTTCACGGCAAGCTCGCACCTTCACGGGCTGTTTTTCCTCATTTCAGACTACACCAGCCTAGAATCCATCTGCCACCCTGGAAATTAATAGCAATCATTAAACAAAAAGAGCTGGCAAAAAGAAGCCTGAGGTGAAAAGCAGCTATTTCTGCCAGAAAAAAAATTAAAACTATTTAGACATACAGAAAGTCATTTATTACTGTGAAGTCCTCCCTCCACCTGGGGTTTAAATCTCATTACAGTTTGTCCAAAACAGATGTTACCCTTTTAGCAGTAGATTATTAACAATAAACTCCAATCCTCCAAAGAGGGTAGGTGTTTTGGGTTCACTTGCTTTTTGGGCTTGGGTAACCTCCACAGGAAATGTTTATGAAAAGGACGGGCAATCCAAGTGCTGGCAGAGCTCCCTGCTTCTGTTGTCTTGGACTCCAGAGTTTCTTCCCACTCTCCATATCTTCAGCAGTGAAGCACAGAGGCCCAGAGAGTGGCCACAGAGCTGGCTGAGGAGCAGGCAGGATGCTGAGGAAGGGCTTTGTGTGCTGCAAGCCCACGCTAGCACACCACTAGCTCCTACTGCTGCTTTGCCACCATCAGCTTGGCACTGACCATGTGCCCAGACAAAAACAGTTTCTTTTGGAGTCTTAGCATGTGCACAAACCATCTTTTACAAGCCTCTCTGCGTCTGGCCACAAACTTTTATGTAGAAGGCTGTTGGCTTGAGCTTTAGGCATGCTAAAGGAAAGCCTCATACCTGTAGCTGAGTATCCTCCATGGGCAAAGATGGGCTTTGCTTGTTCCCACCAGTGCATACTCCAGTGGGAAACCAGCCAGTCTTGAGAGAAACACTGCCTGGCACCATGTTTAACCAGCCAAGTCCACAGTGGAGTATCTTTGTTCTGTTCAGATTTAGTATAATAAAGATACCTGCTCAGGAATCTAGGATCCTTTTGATCGTGCTGTAAACATAATCAAATGACACATTTATACCAGCTCCAAGCACATGTGGCCATCTGGCTGCCCAGCCATCTCCCTGACCATCTCAGGTAGCAGGAAGCACATTGCCAGTGTTCTCCAGAGACACTGCTAAATAGATGTTCTCACAGTGCCTCCCAGCACGCCTGGGAAGGCAGTGAGAACCAGCTATTTTGGGACTGTTGATGCTGAAGCCAGTACCAGCATCTCAGGGCTGCCTCAGAAAACACTTTTTGCTATCAGTACAATTTTTCCTGCACCCCAAGGGAAGCATCAAGAGCTCTCCTGGGCCATGTATATCTGTGAGTACTTATTGCTGGAAGAGAATCTTTCCCTCAGCACAGCACATCTCAGGCCTTCAGGCTTTACAGCTTATACCCAATCCCTTCTTGGAGCCCTGAGGGGCCCAAGGGGAGCCCCAAGAAAGCAGTGTACTCACCTCCCTGCAGGTGCAGGGTATTCTTGGGATGCATCTGTTGCACATCCTTTCACGCTGTGTCAAAAGCATGATGGAATAACTGCAGGGGCTGTGCTGATGGGAAGAAAAGGCTGTAATTCATGGCTGAAATTAAGCCATTAAAGTGCAGCTGAGGTGAATAAATGCACACAAGTCCATCTTGTGGATTCTGCCCTCTGCCAGAGGGTACAGTCACTGCTGTCTCACATCCCTGTGCCTCCTCATGTGCCACCTGCACCAGCCCTCCATCCCCTCACTTCCATCCCAGACCCAGCTGGAGCACAGACCTGCAACATCAGACCACCACCACCAGGCTGAGACCACTGACCCACCTCCCAAATATCCAAATAAATGGATATTTGTTTGTAGCCTGGCTATCTGACCCATGAGAAGTGTCCTGTTTTAAAAAATAAATAAAGAAACAAAAGCTGAGTGCGTATTTCCGCTTCTGAAACAACAGACCCACAGCCTGGTAAACTGTTTTTCTGTAGGAACACAGCATCTGTTTGGGCTAAGAGGGCAGGGTTGGAAATGTTGATGAGGACCTGAGTTGAGCTAGGGAAGGGTCTCCTCCAAGAGTGGGCAAAGGTGAGTTGCTCCAGCAGAGCCACCTGCAGGAGCAGGGCAGAGATGGGTGAGCTGTACGTGGAAGGTGGTCACGCTTGGTTTCCTCCGCAATGCTGTTATCCTGAATAAACATTAGATTGGTTTTGGAGGGCTGCCCAGATGATCATTAACCTTCTCCTGGCCCATGACAAGAAGCCAGCCTGCAGCACTGAGCTAAAATTAGGCTTGTAGGGCACTGGGGCTTGCCAGATATAGCAATATCTGGGCAGAAACCCCCCTCAGAAAGTGGATAGCCAGAGGATCCAGCCTTAAGCTGGGCTCCTCAGCTCCAGAGGACAAGAGCTACATCATTAAAATCACAAGATAACCTGGATTGGAAGAGACATCTGAAAGTCTCCATGCAGAAAAGCAGGACCAGCTTCCAAGGTGAGTGAGTCAGTGAGAGGTTAGCAGAGGTATTTGCTCACAGCACAGACATAACAATTCCTGTGTGCAGGACACATCCTGTTCTGCCTAGCCAGAGATCACAGATCATTACCATGAAGTCCTTGATGAGCTGTGTATTTTCTTGTCCATCTCTCAACACTCACCATTACAGCCCACCTCAAAACTGTGATATTTCACTGGCCAGAGACCCCTTCACCAGGGAAGGGCAGGAGAGAGGAGGAAGTGTTCTTCTGCAAATACAACCATTAAAAAAGCAGAGCAAAAAAGACACTTGCACCTCTAAAAGTAATTTCTAACAACTCACAATTTCACAAATCCATCACCAGATTTTCCCCTATGTAGAAGTGGGTTTTCCCACCTGGGAGGCAAAGGGTTATGCAGGCTTCCTGCAAAAATAAATTAATGAATGAAAGCGATAAAGCCCTTTTCCAAACAGCAGCAAAGATCTGAGCGAGGATGACAATGCAGGGGAGACAAGGCTCAGCTCAGATTGTCACTGCTGAGGAACACCAGCAGCTCCACTTCCCAGCGTGGGGCTGGCTCCCTCCATTGCATCAGTGTTGGGAAAACATCTTTTGATCTTCAGCACTACTTACAGGGGAAAGCAGGACTCTTGCTTCCACACCAGACCTCTGCTTTTCCCCAGCCTACCATCAGCACAGCCATCCCACAATGAAGCTGTGATTCAGACTGACTATTTCTAAGGAAAAACCCCATCAAGAAAGTATTAGAGAAGCTTTCTCCCATGGAAACAACTTTTCTTATTGTTAGAGTAGTATCTGATCAGAGCTCTTACTTCTCTACATCCCCTAAAACTTTTTTCCTCTTCACCTTCCCCTAACTCTGTCCCTCTCATCACATTTCTCAGCTCCTTGAGGGCTCAACTGCACTGTCAGGGGATGGAGCTGATGTTCCACTGCTGCTCATGCCCATGTTTTGGAAGACTGGTTTAATGCACAGCTACCCCAGCTGGGCTTAAGAGGTTGCTCACCAAGAACATCATTTATGCATTTACTTAAACTCAGCAGAGGCTTCTGCTCAGCAGCCCACAGCAGCATGAGATAGGGTTGTCATCTCAACAGACCCTGGAAACCAAGCAGCATGAGATGGATGTAAATGACTTCAGACTGCAGCTGAGTAACAGCAGAATAGTCTTATATTCTGAAATCCCAACAGTTTGTCTTGAAAATATTGTCATTTTAAACCAGAATTTGTCTTGCCATAGAAGAAAAGGTTCTTAAAAAATGTTTGTGCAAACAGGTCCGTTCTGGCCATTCCCAGGCTGCAGCTCTGGCCTCATCCTGGCTTTTGGAGACACAGTGGCTTTGAACCAGGGCTCCCTTCAGACACTACAGCACCCAAGTTTACTGCTAAATTAAATGGGATTGAATATCAGCTTCCAGTAAACATCATAACTTTTTGAGTCAAGATTAAAATAGGAATAAGCCAAGGAGAGATTTGCCCCAGCACCATACAGAGCCCATGAGTGTTGACATACTGGTAATATTAATGTCCCTGTATAGAAACCAAGCGTGTCTTTTCTCTTTGTTTCTCCCAGTGTCTCCCAGAAAAGTTTTCTCTTTGCCATCTCCCCCACCTGGACACTTGTCATGCAGTCTGTGACCTCCCAGAGTCTCAGTAAAAGCTCTCCTGGATGCAATTCTGGGCACTTCTCTCAGCCTCCCCTTCACCTCTCTGCTTCATTCCTTCTTAATCTCTCCTCAAACCTCAGTGGAAAATATATCTCTTCTCCCTTGCCTGTTTTTCTTAAATAATAAATAATAGCAGGAGAGAGAGCAGAATTGACTGGAGAACTTTATTATCTAACACTGAGGCGTTTGGGAATAAGGTTGGGATGCACAAAATGTTGCCTAAACCCTGTCAGTGAAATATATTAGAACCAGGATGTCTGGATACAAAATGAACTTGAATTTTACAGGCCTGAGCATCTTTATTATCCAGGGAGGTTGTGATTCTGACCAACATCACCCAGCAGGAGTCATGGAGCAAAGAGTATAAATGAGGGGAAAATCTGCCTGGAAGTCTCCTTTCCCCACCTGACCTCTACAGGATGGACATTAGCTATTTACAGGAGGTTTCATCACTATTAAAGGTGTTATCTGCTATCTTGGAGCTGCCTCTCTCTTACACATAATGAAGAATCAAGGTTCACTTTAAAATCTGGTTCCTGTTAGCCAAATTTTCCCTCCTCTCCTGTTTGGTTGACCAAATACTCACTTTTGTAATGTACCACTCACATTTTCCTCTGGCTCTCTTTGTAGTGGGGATAATTTTTTTATAAAACAGCCCAAGTGGCTGTGAAAGGGGATCTAAGAGAAACTGGAGATGGAGCAGCTAGGGAAAAGGAAGTTATGGAGATGCAGAAATGCCAAGGAGAGGAGCACTGCTGTGTGTATACACACGCACACGCACGTGTAATCTTTTGCTCCCTCAGTAAATGTAATCCACAGTTTGAAATAACTCATTCAGTAGAATAACAAAATTAGGAACTGAATGCCAGCTCCCATCCCAGCCCCCATGGCTGCTTTGTTTGCTTCCTTGCAGCTGCTGCTCTGGTTCAATTTTCCAAGATGCCATTAGTTGGGAAATGGAAGCAAAAACTTCCCAGCCAGCTTGCACTGGTTTTTGAAGCTCCAGCTTTGCCTTTTCCTTTCCACCTCCCTTTCTGTGGGTTTTCAGCCAGGATAAGGATGCTGCTGCTCATCCAGAGCAGGCTGCAGCCCCGAGATTCCAGCCATCCCTCTTTGCTGCTGGGTTGTTGACAGGGACCAGGCTGGAGAAGCAGAGGTGGGTAGGAGGGGAGCACATCACAGTCAGGGCTGAGGATTAGCAGGGAGAAGCATGGATCTGGGCTCCAGCAGAGATACTGGATAGGGAGTTGTCATTGCCCCTTTGCTGGCCTCTGTTAGCCACAAAAACCCAGCATCATCACAGCTGGTCAAACCATTCTGCCTCCTGAGAGCAGAAGGAAAGGGAATTACAGCAGTGTCTGCAGGGCCCAGGTAACTGTGCAGGAATGGTATTTCCTGCATGGCTAGCATGGCCCTGTCATGGATGTGGCCTGTTGTCATTGTCACCATGGTGCCTCACTTCAAGATATCTCTGAGATGAAACCCATCATTCCGAAACCTGTTCCACACTGTCTTCATTCCTACCTTTTGCTTCGTTCTCCAACAGCAAAAGAGACCCCCCAAATCAGCACTTTCCCGGTTGTTTTTCATGTGAGAGTTTTGCTGGTTTATTCCCAGGTTTTCTCAGCTCTGTGGGAGTTCAGAGGACTGGAAAAAGTGATGTGCAATTGTGTTACCAGGAGAATAAACTCAGGACAACTGGGCAAAGATGAATCAGGCAGGCAGGAGAGTTAAACCACCAGATCCCTGGGGGATGCTCAGTGCTGGTGTTGCTTGGGCATACACACCCACACCCACCATGGGCTGGGATGGAGGCTCTCAGAAGCCAGCAAGATGAACAATTATGCCTTTTGTGCAAAGAAACAAGACCCACTTCTCCACTCACCAGTCATGTCCCGAGAATCTAATAAAGAGGGAGATTAGGCCCTCTTTCCTCTCTCACATCTCCTTAATGCTGTCATTTTATTCACACTTTGTAAAGCAAATAAACCAGCAAATTGCTTGCTTTAATGAGTTGAAATTAAACTTAGGCTGCTGATAAAATGCCATTTCTCCTTTCTGTTGTTGGGAAGGACTTGGCTGATAGGCAGTGTATGGAAAAGAAGAGAAAACATACAGTGGGAGCCTTACTGAAAGTGTTTGAGTCATTTACTGCTGCTCTTCTTCATCCCCAGCACCTCCAGCTAGATGGGGGAAGCACAAGGGTGGCTATAGGGGCAGGCTATAGGGGGTCAGGTAAGATCTGTGGCCAGGCTGTTTCTGCTCTTTGCTCATGGGTGGTCCCACTCCACCAGTGCCCTCTGCCCACAGCCTTTCCCTAGGGAGGAGTGACAAGAACATTCCTCTGTGAGGAAAAGGCTGGTTTGGCTCTGCAGAGCCTTCCCAAACACAGGTTTGCCCAGACAGGGTGGTTGGGTCACAATGGGAAATAGAGGAGACAAAGTGCTTGCTGAAGCGAATATGCTGAGTGCATCCCTTCCTGCTGCCTGTGCTGGCTTTGGCAGGGCTTCCCTTGCCTGCAGGAATCCACAAGTCCATGGAGGAGGACAGGGAGGTGCTGGAATCAAGTGCCACCCTGAGGAGACAACTGGGGCAAGCCATTGCTTCTGTCTCTGCAGTCCAGGAATACCCTCGTCCCACACCCTCAGGGGCAACATACATCCCCACAGGATGCAGGAGGAGCTGGACACCAGGCTGCTCTCTGTGGCAGAGGAGAGCTGGCACACCTAGAGAGAAAGTCTCCACCTGCAACATAATGCATGTGCTGGGATTTTCACCCCAACAAGAGGAGCTCAGGGCACTTTGCTTCAGTCTCCCACCACCCTGTGAAGTGTTATCATTATCTCACGGTACCAGAGAGGAGGCTGGAGTGCAGAGAGGTTAATTGAGCTGTCTAACACCAGAGGGATGCAGCAGCAGACGTGTTTCAGTCTGGCACTGCAGCCTGTGTCTCGCTGTGGGGGTGGCAAGGGGGGCCACTCACCTGCAATCTCCCAGGGAGCACAGTCCCTCTTCCCTTCCTCTCTGGCTCCAAGGACTCAGCTTTGTTAAAATGAGCTTCCAGGTACTGGCAGAGCATCCCATGGCAGTGACAGCACATGGAGGACAAGCTGGCTGGAAAGTCTCTTTTGCAGGGAGCTGATGTGAGAGAAGGTCTCGTTATTCATATAATGGAAACCTAAGTGTCACCAGGGAACAGACTCATTGTTCACAATCCAACCAAATAAACTGTTTTACTGCTTATTATTACTGGCCTGTTTACTAGGGTATACACTGAATGGTGAACAGGGATCTCTGCAATGAAATACGGTCTCCTTCCCTGCCTGGTTTTGTATTGTGGCTGGGAAAGAACTTGGTTTCTTTGGGACAAGGGTCAGAGTGTAGCATCTGCCTCTAAACAGTCAGCCCCACACAATTTTCAGGGATGTAGCACCAAGAGCAGTCCAGACTGGGCACTGTGAAATGGTTTGGAAAACTGTTTCTGGGTTTATACTGCTTTTCACGTTTTGTGAAAGACAATTTGGATGTAAGATGTGGCCCTGTCTCCATCACAGCTTCCCAAGAAACTTAGTTCTTACCAGCTATGTTTCCAAGGAGTATTGGTGGTGTCTTCCCTGGCTTCTACAGTCTATCCTTGGACAAGGGAGACAAACAATGTTCCTGTTCCCAAAAACAAGTTCAAAGAAGGATATTTCTAGATAAGCCGTGATGATTTCTCTCCATTTGTGGGCAATTCCATCTCTGCCACAACATCTCACTGCATCCATCCTACAAGCCCAGAGTTCTCTCTGGCAGTAGAGAGATCTACAGATGATGCTTTCAATATCTTATGGGAAAGCATGACCCAGGAGAGGCTGGTGCTCATGTATTTCCCACCTCTCCTGTTTTGCCTTTCTTTTTCCCTAAGAAATCAGAAAAAGAAGTAAGAGCTGTCCATGGAAATTTATGCTTAGTCAAAAAATTTAGGGGGAAAAAATGGAAAATGTGAGCCAGAAATGAATTTCTCTGTGGGGAGTGAGGCTGCTGGCAGCCCCACAGGTTTGTGTCTAGTGAAGACTTTTCCTAGTCTTCAAACAGATGTTTCTGTCTGGGTAGGGAAGATCTTGTCCCATCCTCTGCAAATGCTCTTGTTATGCCAGTGCATGTTTGCTGGTTTTCCACACCTCTGCATCATTTTTCCTGGAAGGGAGAGGCCTTGGAGAAAAGCAACAAGCCCCCAGCAGGGACGAGGATACTGGGTGGTTGACAATCACACCAGTGGGCTTTGCAAAGAGTGCCCTGAAATGACTGCTCATGTTCCCAGGAACGGGACAAGCGTTTGATGCTGCGCTGTATCCCAGATGCCACATGGCAGTGCCAGCAGAGAGACACGGTGTCCTCAACCAGCACCCCTTGTGTGGGCACTGCTGCTGCGCACACCAGCACACGAGACAGGCAGGATTCCCCTCAGCAAAACGCTGCAGCATCAAATCTACATCAGAGCCAGTTGTCTAGACTTCATCTGCTCTCAGCGGAGAGGAACAGACACTTCTGGGGCATCACTTCTCTCCTCCTCAGGTAGACACCTAAATAGGTCAGACAAACAGTGCACTGGATGTGGGTTGGTCTCTCAACTGCCAAAAAAGAGATGTTGGACAAGGGTGACCTCAATGGCCAGTGACCATCTCCTCTTGTGCTGCCGAATAGTGCTGGTGGCAGCCAAATAAACCAAAGGCTCCTTGAAAGGTGTTTTCCAGAATGAGAAGGCGAGTGCCTAACTAAGAGGGGAGTTGGATGGATCTCCAACACCTCTGACTGCTGGCTGTCTTTCCTTTGTGCTCAGTTTGTGCTTGTGTTTTGTTTTTGAGCAGGTGAGCTGGGAGACCGAGCGGGGACAGCCGAACACACGGAGGCACACGGAGATGGGGACCAGCGCCACGATGTGCAGCAAAAAGAAAACGAGGAGAAGTACTATAAAAAATGAGAGGAAGGCTTATCTCTAAGCCTGAACAACTCCTCTGCACAGGCGCTTAACTTCATGACTCCCTCCTCGAGATGCCAGAGGTCTGGTGATGTGGGACCAGCCTCAGCCACCAAGGCCTTGGTAGCAGCCCCTGGCTGCTGGCTGCCGAGTACCGTGGGCACCGAGGTCTGCTTTCTCCAGGGACGCTTCCCTCCCGTCTCCGAGCCATGAGGAGAAGGGAGAGGCAAGCAAAGCTGCTGAAGGAGCACTAGCCCACACCTTCCTGGTCCCTGTCCTGTTCCCCGCTTCCAGCAGACCAGGAACCCCTTCTCCGTGCTGCCCTTCCAGATGGCAGGTCGCCGGTGGGCCGCGACGTCAGCCCTCTGCATGTGCGTGGCGGCCGTGTCTCTCCTGCACGCCGGCGGGGTGCGGGCAGACTGCTGGCTCATCGAGGGGGACAAGGGCTTCGTCTGGTTGGCCATCTGCAGCCAAAACCAGCCCCCCTACGAGTCCATCCCCCAGCAGATCAACAGCACCATCGTGGACTTGCGGCTGAACGACAACAAGATCAAGAGCGTGCAGTATGCCTCGCTCAGCCGCTTCGGCAACCTGACATACCTCAACCTGACGAAGAACGAGATCTCCTACATCGAGGACGGTGCCTTTTCAGGACAGTTCAACCTCCAGGTGCTGCAGCTGGGTTACAACCGACTGAGGAACCTCACTGAGGGCATCCTCCGGGGCCTGGGGAAGCTGGAGTACCTCTATCTCCAGGCCAACCTCATCGAGACCGTCACCCCCAATGCCTTCTGGGAGTGCCCCAACATAGTGAACATTGACCTGTCCATGAACAGGATCCAGAGACTGGACAGCAACACTTTTCGGGGCCTAAACAAGCTCTCTGTCTGTGAACTCTACAGTAACCCCTTCTACTGCTCCTGCGAGCTCCTCGGCTTCCTGCAATGGCTGGAGGCTTTCACCAACATGACACGCACCTACGACCGGATGCAGTGCGACTCGCCGCCCGACTACATGGGCTACTACTTGTTAGGCCAAGGCCGGACTGGCTACCGCAATGCTCTGAGCATGCTCTCTTCCCTTTGCACTGGTGGCTCCTACACTGTGATCCCTCGTTTTATCCCTCCCAGGTACCAGGTGACCACGGTGCCCTCCGAAAGCCCCTGCTCTGAGGAGGAGTGCTCCTCTGGCGACGGCACGACGCCGCAGTTCTCCCTCTTCACGCCCATCGGTGAGACGGAGGTGCGCCCCAACATCCAGGTGAAGCACCTCAACCACAACTCGGCCGTCCTCACCGTGCAGATCCCCTACCCCTTCAGCAAGATGTACATCCTCTCCCAGTTCGAAAACGGCTTCTCCTCCATGATCACCAAGCTCAGGAAGAAGGAGGAGAACATCACCGTGAGCAACCTAGTAGCACAAAGAGATTACACCTACTGTGTAGTCTCTGTTCACCAGTACTCCAAGTACAACCACACCTGCGTCACCATCACCCCCACCAGACCCAACCGCAAGGAGCCGGTGCCCACCCCCTCCACTGCCACCCATTATATCATGACAATCCTGGGCTGTCTCTTTGGCATGGTGATTGTCCTGGGTGTGGTGTATTACTGCCTCCGGAAGAGGCGCCAGCAGGAGGAGAAGCACAAAAAGGCTGCCGGCAGCATGAAGAAGACCATCATCGAGCTGAAGTACGGGCCGGAAATGGAGACCACCAGCATCACCCAGCTGTCCCAGGGACAGATTCTGGGTGGGGAGACAGTGACCCGCATCCCCTACCTGCCTTCTGCTGGCGAGGTCGAGCAGTACAAGCTGATTGAGAGCAGCGAGACCCCCAAGGCCACCAAGGGCAACTACATGGAGGTGAGGACGGGTGAGCAGCCTGAGAGGCGAGACTGTGAGCTATCCCTGCCGCCAGACACCCAGGGCTCTGTGGCTGAGATCTCCACCATTGCCAAGGAGGTGGACAAGGTGAACCAGATCATCAACAACTGCATCGATGCCTTGAAATCCGAGTCCACCTCCTTCCAAGGGGTGAAGTCGGGGGCAGTCTCCACGGTGGAGCCTCAGCTGGTGCTCTTATCAGAGCAGATCCCCAGCAAGCACGGATTCCTTTCCCCTGTCTACAAGGAAAGCTACAACCACCCTCTCCAGCGACACCACAGCATGGAGGCGGCCCCCAAACGCTCCAGCACCTCTTCCAGTGGCTCCATACGGAGCCCCAGGTCCTACCGCTCCGAGGGATCGGGCCACAAATCCGAAGCCAAATACATTGAGAAGACATCCCCCACCACCGACACCATCCTCACTGTGACACCGGCTGCTGCCATCCTGCGGGCAGAGGCGGAGAAGATCCGCCAGTACAGCGAACACCGGCACTCGTACCCCAGCTCACACCCAGGGGAGCAGCACGACAGCATGGGCGGGAGGAAACCCTCCATCCTGGAGCCTCTGACCCGTCCTCGCCCCAGAGACCTGGCCTACTCCCAGCTCTCGCCTCAGTATCACAACCTGAGCTACACCTCCAGCCCAGAGTACACCTGCAAACCATCGCACAGCATCTGGGAGCGCTTCAAACTCAACCGCAAGCGGCACAAAGACGAGGAGGAGTACATGGCAGCCGGCCATGCCCTACGCAAAAAGGTCCAGTTTGCCAAAGACGAGGATCTTCACGACATCTTAGACTACTGGAAGGGCGTCTCTGCCCAGCAAAAGTCCTGAGTCCTCACACAACTCGTGACTTAACACACTAACTGGACCAAAAGAAATCCGCAGCAGCTATTTTTATTCAGACTGTCTTTGAAACAAAATAAAATTAAAAATAAAAAAAAAAAAAAGAGAGAGTCAATAAAAAAATGAAAGAGAGAACAAATAATGAAAAATCTATAAATATTCTATATAATATATAAAGTGAGATATTAAAATGTCCTCACATTGGTGAGACATGCACCAAATTTGAACACAAACTTTGCAAAACAAACTGTGGAGTGGGAATAAAAAAAAAGTTTTGTTTCATTCTGATTTTTTAAAAAAATATAAGAAAAAAGAAAAAATTGAATATAAAATGAAAATGAAAGAGTGGGCAGAGAGCTGAGGTCTGGCGTTTTCCAATATTGCATTGCATGAGTCCCTATTCCGTGATTTTGTGGATTCTTTGTGAACAGTTTGTGTTCTTCCTTCCTTCCCTTCCAAAATCAACAGCGACAAAAACAGCAACAAAAACCAAAAAGAGACCAGAAGGAGCTCCATCTTTTGGGCTGTTTTTGCAAACGGAGTCTTCCAGTTTAGACTTTTACTCGGTTGAAGGCCCGTTCACATTTTCACTCACTAAGAGGTTTTACCACACATTGCATTGTAAACCGAAGTCGTTAATTGTACAGAGAAAATTTCTATATTTGCAATGTTTGCTGTATAATGAGAAAGAGAGAGGAGAAAAAAAACAATACTACATCTACTAAAAAAAAAATATATATATATATCTATATTCATGTGTTTGTATCAGGTTTTAATCATGGATTTTAGAGAAAGAGTTGGAGTTTTATTTGAAGGAATTTTTGTTGGTTGGTTGGTTGGTTTGGAGGGGGGAATGTTTGGGTTTCTAAGTCTTTCATTTTGATTTCTTCCACCAATTGTCTGTCTCCAAGTTCTCACCACTTCCACATGCACTGAAGAAAAAAAGCTCATACCCAGGAAAATAGAATCTTTCACCTTATTCCAGGTGGGAGACCATCACCACCAGGAACTGGGAAGGGGATGAGAAGTGAAGGGCTCTTGGCTGAGCAGGTGCCACCATGCAATGGGATTTCTCCTGCAAATCAAAAGGTATTTTGATTTTAGGTCTCTGCCCCTAAACAGACGTGTCTGGGCAGTGGTGGCCCTTGGGACCAGCCACTGAGGGGTGGATTATCCCCCCGCTTTCAAGGCAGTGATGAGTTAGAGCACATAGCCTCTTGCTGCTTGGTGAAGAAGGAGAGAATGGAGGGGTGATTTTGCTTTTGAGGTAGAAGACACTCAGCATTTACAGCTTGCCCATACTGAGACCCCTGGGGAGCCCCTGAACAGCCCTTAGCACTCAGAGACTGGGAGGGAAAGTGAAGGCTCTGTGTTCATGGGTCTACCCAAGCCATTGCTGTCCAACACTGTCCCAAGACTCCACAGCTTTTTGCCCCATCTCTAAAATTCTCACATGAGGTGAGAAGAGAGGTGTTGAGGCCATGAAGGCACTCCCAGGCCACACTGGTGGCCAAAGGACACTATTTTGTCCTGATCAGCTCCAGCTGAGTCACAAACCCCTATTTCTCACCCACCTCACGACCAACAAAAAGTGAGGGATCTGTGAGGGTCTGAGAGCTGCCCTGCTCCCAGGTGAGTGTGTGGGAGCCCAGGGAGCCAGCACAGTGAGGTGAGGTGCTAAGCTCCCCAGATGCAGCCCTGCAAGGCCCTGCTGCTCGCCAGAGTTTTTTCCCTTGCATCCTGCTCACAAGTCACTTCGGATGGACATCCTAAGTCCTGATGGATGAGCACTAGGGCCCAGGAGCAAACCTGTTAGAAAAAATCCCATCCTGTTACTTCAATATTTCAAAGCAATTTTGACAGGTATTCTTGCGAAAGGTTATGTTTGTTCAGAAAGGAGCTGAGCCAGGAAGACACAGAGCAGGCTGGGAAGTGCACGAGTTCATTCCCCGTGGTTATTTGTGTAGACAACAAACCATTAGCAGGATTTCATAATAAAAGGCAGGTAATTTCTACAGGAATGCATTCACTCTGCCTGAGCAAAAGCACATTCCTCCACCTCCTCAGGTGCCCCAGATCCTGCCCACAGCACACAGTTTTCCAGGGCTGTGTCTTGCTCACCAGGCAGTGAGCAGAA